ACACTTAAGAAGATTTATGAACGCGCAAATAGTTGCACCTGAAAAATACCAGAGCCAGGCAAGGGCAGCTGGTCAGTGGTCACCCCCGACTAGAGCTGGAACTTAGCATGATCTTGGTCAAACGGTTTCCTCGCCAGCCACAAAGCCATAGCCCTTTCTTACAAAACCCCAGGAGCATGCAACGTGCAGAGCTGTGACACGCTTGGGTTATGCAAAGGGGAAAAGAAAAGATGCAGAAAAAGTGTAAACAATGAGACTGTTACCCTACAGACTGGCATGCACTCAAAGAAGCTGTAAAAAAAACGCAAAATATATAATACACACTGAAAATAGATGTATACAAGCATTTCAATCTTTGTTGACTTAGAGATTTATCAAACGTGAGACCACTGCATTACACATTGGACAGTTCCTTTAGTGGTCTGGAAAGACACTTGCTGCCAGTGGGAATGCTGACCCCCCCATGGTCTCACTAGTGTTTCACTGATCCGGGTAAACGACGAACATCACACGCATCCACGACCGCTTCCCACCCCCCCTTCGACCAGGACGGAAATACTACGACCCACTCGAAACAAAAATCAACCAACTCTTTCACTCACTGAAGTAATGCTGAATTTAGTGATCATGAAATGCAATATATTACACATCTGTATACGTACCCAACCACCAAGAGCAATTCATTGTAGCTGCTGGATAGTTAATGTATGGATGTGACCATTGTTTTTTTTATAAAGCTATGAAATTAAGTCAGGTTTCTATCGTTGTTTAACTGTACCTAAAGAAAGAGCAAAAATAAACTCTTACACTGCACATTAGGGATTGCAATTCCTCACAATTATCCATATTATATTAATTGCTAACCACAGGATGATAACCATGTTTCTTGTTAATTCATGCTATACAGGCACTTGCTGGGCATCAGAAAGGCAGAATTGTGCAGGGTGGTTCAGTAAAACCCTGTTGCTTTACCTTGAGCAAATGAAAGGGCAGAGCAGATTTCATGCAATATTAGTTTCAAAGCATTGGTTCATTAAGGATATTAATTTTCTGATATGTACACATTTATGCGTGACACAGTGGAGCTGTACAGGATTTAGCAATTATTAATATGTGACAGAATCAAGCTCAAAGCGAATCAATTAAACAGAAGAATTCACAATCTGAGTAGAGATAACTGCCTCAGACTACAATTTTCACATGACAAAAAAGGGCCATTCAGACTCCTTCAATACCTGACAGGTCAAGAAAGAAGTATGAAACAAAAGCACCTTATAACCATCATCTCTTCTTTTTACTTGTCAGATCAACTTTGCTAGTGTCGCCGTTGAAATGGCATCACCATACCAGCTGCCACGAGGTGATTTTTCATGTCTTGTCACAGAAATCTTTTATTCTATTTGCTCTGCATTAACATGTCACATTTATTGATCAAGCCCTTTATGCAGCCACAGCAGGGCCCCATTCTCTTGTGCTTAAGGGTCTCTGATGTCTCGATGACATCCCAGGCCAAATAATGCACATATTAAAATGCACTTAATGCAGAAATGTGTTTGTGCATGACAGGTACATTAATATCAGCCTGAGATGCTGATATATTCACAATTGCTATTGTTACAATACTTCTCCATTAGAGAAGCAGCCATCTCTGCAGCATGACGTCAAGCCACGGTGAAAAGGGCTCACTTAGTCCTGAACAAATTAAAATACCAGCACTTAGAAGATCTGATTATCTGGAGATAACAAAGCACCTCCTTTTCAAAATCCAAAATCTAACAAGAGCGCTAGTACAAACTTGGTTCCCCCTCACCAAAACAAGACTCACAACCAGCAGTCTAGGGGGCTCCTCAGACTGCTTCATTCTAACAGCTCTCAAATCTACTACTATCACAGTGCACCATTTAATCAGATCATGTTGAAAACACTTTCTAATGGAGGCTGTAAGAAAACTACTCATGTCCGTTTAGCACTGCTGGGTACACCCATCTTTCTCCGCAATGGACACCCCTACCTCTGCAGCCAGTCAAGAGAATAAGTTACCAAACTTGTAAGGTTGCAAACTTGTAAGTTTTACAAAACCAATTCCTATCAAACGCACCAGTAACAGGCATGGAGTAGCTACCAGATCTTGAAGCCAGAGCGCAGTGTTCAACCCGAATCTCTGCCTGTTCCAGGTCAGCAGTGTTACTACCCCAGGTTAGTTCAGCTTTCTAAAAAGGTGCCATTGGCACCAAGCCCGTTAAAGAAGTGGGCATCTGTCTGTGGAACCTGGAGAGCGTTGAATTCTCCCAGCTTAATGGAGTTCGCCGCTGTCTGGGGAGTGGCGCTGTGCGGCTCCGAACCCAGGTTACTGAATCCTGGCAGGAGCTGGGCTGCACACCTCCATTCTACATCAGGCAGCCAGGTTTGCGCTGCACACACCTGCACGCGGGACCGTGCTTGAGCAGCTGTGGTCCCCTGTGGCTCCAGGTTTGCTTTCCAGGCAGCCCGGCCACAGAAGGAACGACAGTAACATGGAATGACAATTACATCAGTCGGCATGTTCAATCAGATGTACTACTCGGCACAGTCATTTTCATGGATGTACTGTAGACTCAGTTGACTCAAATCTAACCAGGAAAAAAAAAAACAGGCTTTTAACATCACAGGCTTTGTGATGATCTCTTTATACCACGACCAGAATGAAGTATGAATCACATCACCTAAATAAAGACTTTCACCTTGGAACTGTCACATTTTTTTTTAATGTTGTACGGTGTTGCACAAAGTTAGGTTGTTTAAAAAAGGATTACAGCGTATGCTTAAGCAAAGCTGGTGCTAAAGGATATAATATAACTATGCTTAAGGGTCAAAAGATATAGTAACAGCATACTGGTGACTAATATTAGTCACAACTCCTAATAATACACATGGAGGCTTTTAGCACATCCCTTTCAGTCTGGACACCATTAAAAAAAAAATCCTTATGTGTATCCACACAGAAAGCAAAACACAGACAAACAAAAACATAAAACGTAAAACAAAACAATGCAAACCAGCACAGGGCTGTTTGGAATATTACATGTAATTATTCAAGTTATTTAGCCTTGAAGATTAAAGATGATTTTGTTTTGTTTGACCGCTTTTTCAGATTCCTTTTTTTAATAAGTCATAGGATGAAATCACATGGTTTCATTTCCCACTGGCATCCATAGCAAATCTCATTACATAGGATTCCTCTATTTACCACAGCTCTGTTCTCACTGATGGGCTGAATGAAAAGCAACTTATTAATGGACTCGATCACTGGCAACAAAGCACAAAGGCAATGTCTGAGGACACCACAAACAATTCAGCAATAGCTACAGATAATTCCTGTAAACTCGGTTCTAAGTAAACTTTTTAAACGGGCTTTTTAAAAAAGCAAAAGATTTGATAACTAAGTGAGCAGAAACTTTTCTATATCCAGTGCATAGAAAAGCCAGGGCCTATCACATTTTCCTGATACTGAAGACAGAATACTCGGACAACGAAGAAGAACGATACAGTCAAGGCTATAGTGGACATGTTATCGTTAATGAAATGGATAAACGCTAGAACTGTACAGGAATGCAGCCGTTTGCTAGAAAGTGACCAAACGTGTGGCGGATTCTCAAATATTATATTCAAACATTTGAAGCAAATACTGATTTTACATTTATATCCGCCTATGAGTGTATTTTCTCATTTTTGTAATTAATCAACTAAATAGGAGCTAAAGCGATAATTCATCAATGTGCAGAGAGAGAAAATAGTTTTAATGACTGTGTTAATTTTACACCATAAAAATCAAAACCTGAATAATACAATTTATTATTAACTAGGGCAGAATCTGTTTTTCACAGAAAATTTGGAGCAAATCCTGCTTATTAAGGTCAAATTCAGCCTATATATCAAACCCACAGCTTTATCATAAAGAATAGTATGGACTTTGTATCAAAAAATGGAAAAATAACAGCATAATAGGAGGCCACTTCAGCTGTGAATTGAAATTCTACTCATTGCATGAAGCCTCATGTGTCACTGGAAATGTTAATTTCTTCCATGCAATGCATCGATGTACAATTGATGCATGCTGTACAATAAATACACAGAATGTTGTTAATACAGCAACCTTTCAATTATGTTTGTACCACTCAATATTTTTGTTTTGCATTATCATGCCAAATCCAGCACTTCTCAGCTGCATAGAACTGAAACAGAAGAGGGATATAAAAATCAGGCAGGAAGATTTTGCAATATCAAGCAACAACCACAAAGTCTGCAATGGACACAGTACGGTTATAATTTACACAACAGAACACGACTTGTAAAATGTGTTTGCGCACAGATGTAAAGATAAAATGTGTCTGAGCAGAGGAGATTCTCTAAAAGCCACACTCTAAAAATATTAAGCAACACCAAATTCAGCTTGCACTTAAAAGTCAGTAGGGCCATGTACAATACATGAATACAGTCATCATGCAGATAATTGGAGTACCTGTCATAATGCTCCCTCCTTCTTCAAGCCTCCATTGTTAATTAAACCAATTGTAAAGATTAATCCACTGCAACTGAGTGAAAGAGACAGTCCTACTCATAATGGGTTTAAAAGTGTCTAGATAATACAATGTGAATTCATTATTAATATGGTGTCCAACCTCTTCCAATCACTGCAAATCAGAGTCTCTGTGACTTAACTCAGTAGAGGCACTTATAAAGAATACAGCGGAGCGTCCGAGGAGAGGGAACTCAAGTCCATGTTAACCTAATTATTTTACTGAATATCAGTAGACAGAAAGCCTCATCATTTCCTGATACAACATAATGCATTTGCTCTTTCTAAAAGTTGGGCTACTCTACCCCAATGAAGTAACTGCTTCATTAATGTACTTGGGCTCCTAAGAGTGGGGAAAGTCTGGAAAAACAAAGGCCATTAGAAAACGTCCAAATGCGATGACTTGTTGCCAAGTGTGAAGACAGCAGCATTTGAGAAACCTTACCTGCTAGAGGCCACCAGAGGAGAAACTTCTTCACGGAAGCAAAACGACCTTCCACTGTTTCTAACTGAAAATCTTGCAACCCATCCAGTGAATCTCCAAAGAGGAGTAATAGCTTCATTTCCGATATTTGCGCAATTGAGTAACATGTGAATCAAGCAACTGATCTTTCTGAAAACCAAAGGTCACGGAGGGAATCTGTGGTGAGACTGACTGCAACACGTAAAATAGATAGTATGTAGCATATTAACAATGATCTTAATAAAATCCCCCAATTAGATAATAGATTTACTGGCTTTCTTCCTCCCTCTTAAGAGTGCTCTGAAAGACCGTGATAGGACCTCTTATATTCCCATCCTGCAAAATGTCCATCAGCTTATTTGACCCAGACTTGCGGGGTTCAGCCTAAGACAACTGCTTCTGTGGCGACAAACAGTACTTCTCAAAGCCAGACTCCTGCTTGGATAACTGGCTAAGTACACAACAGCCACCCCAACATTTTTGTTTAATTGCATAGGAATGTACACATAAGCATGATTATGCACAGTTACATCTGTGCTTTCACGTAGAACAGGCCACAATTTGAGGCAGAGCTCCCCTTTAATTGAGGTGCTGTAAGCTAAACAAATCTCTTGATGCCTGCACTCACTCATCTCACTTCAATTAAACAGAACAGATCATAGACCAACTAGCATCTGTGGTAGCTTCTGAGAACTTTGGATTGCATACGTAATACTGCATCCTATATCCAACATATTATGAAAACAGTGTCAGGACACAATGTAGTTATAGTGTGCTTTGGCCTCTACTACTGGGAATATTGCATATGGTGTCCATGTTTAAAATTTCAGCATGCTCTTAGCAAGGGAAATAAGCTCCAAAGCAAAGTTTTCATTTGAATTATCCAAACCATAAAGGCAAGACAGTACAGAAACACACCAAGGACAATGCACTGCCTCTCAGATCAGTTTTGCATCGTTTGGGAGAAAGTAACATGACAGAGCAGGGTGCGTGGTGGGGGAGGGGTCTTTACCTCAGTGAGTTAAAGCTCAGATCCAGCCGTTTTGCCAGCCTGCCAAAGCGTACTCCTAAGAATTCTGGGAGTTCTTCACAGTCGTGTCCGATATAACTCACCTGCAAGTACCACGTGAAAAAAACAATGCACCTTCAGAAACTGAGAAAAAGTGCACCATAACTTGAAACACAAAACAAATCATACAACTGCTTTTGGCTCACGGGCAACAGCATCAGACACAAAGGAAAAGGGTTGAAAGGCCATTTGATTTTACAGACAGGAGAAAGTAAGAAAGCTGGAAAGAAGCAGTTCTCATCTCGTGGAGAATGTGAAAAATATTAAGCACTTATTCTTTATCATCAATCAATTTCACATGCAGGTTATGTTTTTCCTGATGTGCACATGCGATTTGAGTTTTTCTGTACTACAAAGCCCACAACTCTGCTATTTCAAGTATGCATGCACACGTGTGCCCTTGAGTCTCTACGGTTTTCTAACTTACAACTTAGTCTTATGATGGTGCTACACTATCCACATAGGAGCAGCTCATTAGTATCAAAAGTCACAATTGAAAAAACAAAAACTGAATTAAACTAGTATGTGAAATGATCCTGAGTGGCTACGAGCTGACATTAAGCCCAAATTGTGCAGCGCAAAGGAAACGTGCAAAAGCAAGTGTTTGGAATATTTCACACTTACTTGAGTCCCATTCATCACGACCCTTGACTCGCTGCCTGCCATCACTGTATGGTGACAATTCGAGATGTCTGTGTGAGAAAGAAAATGGGAGAGCTGCAAGCGAATCTCTGTTCTAGTTCAGAACGAGTGGCACAACTACAGACGTGAATTTTTAGCTGTGTTTTTAAATGTGGCAGAGTTTCCACGTTCCCTTTCTACAGCTTAATGTTCCCAGTTTCACCTCTTCCGCACTCTGGCAGTCAGCTGATCTCAGGCGGAAGCACGCGCTACTACTGGATTTGCACAGATAAATCTCTCAACTGCCTCAAATTTGGGAGTTTATCAAGTGCGTGCGATTTAGTTGTGACGCGGGTATATCTTTTTTTATTAATCGGGTTATTATAATAACCTCTTCCTATAGAATTAATTTCAAGAGGTTTATTAAATTACACTATATAGGGCCAGAAACTGTATTGTGGCTTAAATGAATAAACAAAACAATCCATTTTAAGACCGAGATCATTAGTAGTAATGCTAAAGACAATTATAAATGCTGTATTTGATTTTTGGATTTAAGGACAGTCATTTAAATTGTTAACGGTCGTAATTGCTTCTGTGCCGGGAATAAGCGCCTTGGGGCAACCTGTTGTGAAAGGCGCTCTATAAAAATGAATTGAATTGCATTGAATTGAACAACGGAAGCTACTGGAACGTTTAGTACACTGAAAACAAAGTTTCAGATGAAACGCCTAAACCACAAGTAGATTACAAGTAGATTAAACTACGCTGATCACACACTAAGGAAATCACTGTGGTTAACATGCAGTTCTGCTGGCGTATTTTCTTGCTTGAGTTTACATACCAACAACAAATGGTTAAAGCACATAACATACGTCGTAATAATGTGCATTTCACCTATGCAAGCCGTGTAAGCAGCTTGCACACATGTTAATGTAGATACCCGATGGATTGGAGCCAGCTATATTCAGATGGCCGAGATATATGTAAATAAGAGAATATGACCGCTCGGTCGCTTGAATAGCCGCGCTGTTCCGCGCCGGCCAGCCCAGCCTGCTCGCGCAAGCTCCGCTGTCCAGGACAGAGCTGCGGGCTCGGAGCTGAGCTCGCGGGACGCGTCACGAGGCACCTCCCCCAAGCGGAAGTCTTGCACTGAAAAGACTGGTTGTGTAGCTCCGGGACGGCGGCCAGGCGGGGTCTCCAAGTGTCATTTCGGATGCATTTGAGTAATGTTGGTATTATGTGTTTCTCTGATATTGTTTATTGTTTGTAACGTGTCCACAAAGGCAATTAAAGGAGTGTGTATATCTGAACTTTACTTTTTTTCCGCTGTCTTTTCACATCGGAACATAATAACCTATTATCTCAGGTAATGTCGCTGACCGAGTTTTGTACTGTACTGCATTTGACTTATTTTAAAACCTTAATGTATCTGCTACACTGTTCTGTTTTATTGCTCTGATTTTAAAATGCAAATTAAATGTGTTCTCTATATTCATAATGTTGCATAATATCTGTGTTTGAAAGCGTTATTTAGGCATTATGTCTGCGCTATTGCAGTTTCTAGTCTTTCAGCTTCAAAATACTACGGCTTGTATGTTTTTTTTTTATATTTTAGAAACATCCTTTCACTAAACTCGCGTTTAATAAGAAATAAAACTTTTTGAAATCGCTTTTGTTTTTGGCTTCATTTTTAAAAAGTTAATGCTATTTCATGACTATCTTACCATTTACATTGTACAGTTACTGTATTTACACAAATATTTGGAAAGTCCCGCGGTAATTAAACTTTTAGAATGAAATTACCGCAATAAAATATACGTCATTTAATTTAGAATTGTAGTTAAGTAAACATAAAAAACGAAAACAATTTCCGCCGTGTGTAATGTAAAAGACACACAGTAATTTGTGTGGAAAAAAAACCCGTGCGACTGGCACTACATCAGAATTAATTGAGACTACCATATTGTACTCTAGCGTTTTTATCAGTTTCTTATATTTGAAGAGACATCCTTTCTCCGTCCCACGAAAGGCGTTTGTCCACTAAGAAAAGAGCTGAAAGATTTCTAACACATATGGTACTTCTGTGCTGTAAATAATTATATTTGCATGCAGGGAGTGATTCATAAATATGTCACCGGTATGAAATATAGGTAGGCATTTCAAACTTTCTATTTAAATATCATGAATTATAGCCACGAAAAATGTGTTCCCATTTAAGGGTAATACCGAGTATTTGGTGTCTGGTGCAGAAGCCCATCCATCACGCAGACAATAAAGAGAGTTTTTGCCTGACGTTGGAAATGTATGGTTGCCCTTCTCTGCCCTAATAACTCAAGCACTGTGTCAGTCCCTGACAGCCTTTGCAGAAAACAGCAACCCTGTTATCAATCAAAAAAAGCCTTTTGCATATTTTTAACTTTTACTCTGATCAGCGAGACACCCTTTTAATGTATGAATTATATTAGAAACCGTTTCGGTACTTCTAGAGCCCTTTTGAAAATGATGTATTCCATTTGTGGGGGGGCACAGGTTGAAAGCTGACAGACCGCATTCCGTACGTGTCCGAAACAGGGTATTTATTAATGGTACAATTCAAGTTTTTTCCCAAATTGCGTTTTTTTTTTTGGAATGCCCGATTTTGTTTATATTATTGGACTTTAGAGGACAATAATAATTTCCATATTCATAGTGCAGTGCGGTTAATATCTCACAGTAGGCTACTATGCAGAAGTATTTCGAACAATTAACATGGATACAAATATTAAGATTTTCTATTTCATGTGAAATAGTTTTATTATATAGGCTTTATTTATTTTTTTGGGGGGGGGGTGAGATGGGTTTATATCTACAGTATAGATATTTGTTCAAATCGGGAGACTCGTCAGAAACGGAAAATGTAAAGATGCTGAGACGAGTAAGATCCGAAAACAAACTTAATAGTCGGTCTCAGCTCAAGTGTTGTCTTTTTATACGATTGTTACTCTTTTTTGTAAAAGTCAGGTTGTAAATTATTTATTTTTATGCATAAAAAAACATTATATAGCACTCGTAAGATTAAGCTAAATATGTTTCTCAATGAGTAAAGGAAAAGAAAAGTCAGTCCTGGTTATCTGGTTTGAAAAATATGCCTGCAATATGTCATTAAATGCTTATGCTTTCAAAGACATCTCTAAAACGCTTTTCCTAATGTTTGAGAGCTCAGCTTGTCGACTGCTCTGATTGAAAGTTTCGGTAGCAAAATCTGCATCCTCAACAACTTTGTAAGGCCTATAAGACAAAAATAATTATTCCTTGTTTTATCAAATTTACTTTAAAAAAATAAGTATTACTGTTAGAGTGTGCTTTGTAACCAAGACAAATACCATTTTACTGTATTCCCATCTACAGGAAAATAAGAAGAAAGCAAAAAAAAATCCGAATTAAACAGAAAATACCTTTTCTCTCCCCAGCCTGAAACGCAAAACGTTATCTGATATTACAGACTTGCCAAATTGTTATGTGTGGAGAGACAGATCGAAAATGTTGAAAATCTGGGTATAGGAAATATTACAAGACAACGTTTTTGCAAACCTTCGCAAACCCTTCCTTTCAGATTTTGGAAACAAGTCGCTCCAGCAACGTCCAGTCCAGGTTTTCCTGCTCTCTGAGATGACCTGTCAAGCGGATTACCGTAGAAGGAGATTAATAGGGGAGGCGGGTTGCAATAATAATCGTTTTGTTTGATGTGACAACTTTGATAGGCGTTGATTTACTTACAAACTGATAGGCTTTTAATTGAGCGCCTCTATCCAGCTTGAGATGAAAGGAAAACCGCGTTGAAAAGCTGCCCGATTGCCCTGGAACCTCAATACTGATTAGCCATCTCAACGGTGAATAGTTCAAGGCATTTTTAAACTTCTTTTCTCAAAGATCTGTCTGTCCCTCCTTTTTTTCTCCGAAGAAAATAAATCATTTCCATTGTGTGCAAATAAAATCGACTTGACATCCCTGTCAATAGCTCGTAGGTGAAATTAAGTTTGGACTCTGGACTGTTAATTATGTTTTTTTTTTATTTGGAGAGTCCAGAAAGAAACTGTTTCTGCGCGTTGAAATGTAATATTTATGTAAAACAAAATATTTTGCTTACCTCTCTAAACACACGGGATTCGAGGCTGTGACTTTACAGAAATGTATATCGAGCAATTATTGTTCTACAATTATGTAATGACAACAATATCAGAAAAGGTAGCCTGATATCCTTGTTAGATCAATTTGAAAGTTAACGGGCGAGGATGAAGCTGCGATTTTAATCGGTTGTTTTGGAAGACAATAAAATAAATGTATTGCATTTTTTAAATGCATTGATTTTTTTAAACAAACGTTAACTTGTGTCTTGATGAGAATGCGCCTTTCTACGCATATTAAAAATAATAAAGGTTGGTGTCCCATCTTTACTTCATGACAATGTTTCTTGTTAAACTGCCACTGTAGTTTAATTCTTTAGGCTACTGTATCTAAAGCAAATTCAAGTCACATTGCTTTCACCTTTGATTCCCATTATTTCCAAAGTTTTAAAAAAAAAACTTCCCACAGTCGACTCCCCCTCGTTGTAATTAATCTCTTAGTCTTTCACATCAGGAGGCAGGATAAACACAAGTAGAAAACAGACAGAAGTCTCTCTGGTCCTGTAGGAAAAACAGCTGTTCCAAGCACTTTAATGCAAATGAACACAATTGAAGGTTTCGGCTCCTTTTTTTTCGTATTTCAGTACACTTAATCAATCAATATGACTAGTCATTAAAAACGGAAAATGGATGAGGTGTGAGAAAAAGGGGAAAGAAAATCAGGGCTCTCCTATGTGTGCGTGTGTATGTATGCGTTCATACAGACATAAACACAGCCGTCTTTTTATCGCAGCTGTTTTAAACATCGAGGTTATCGATTCCTGTATTTTAAAACAACAGCTGTGGGACGGTGTTTACCAGGACAAAGGTGGATTTTAAATACGAGTTCTTGCTGAAAGAATCTGGTTCAGGAATTTTGTCCCGACTCCGAGGCACTGTCCTTGGACTTTCTTGTTAAACGTGTTATCATCTCCGAACATTTTTGTTGGTGCCGAGGACTACACGGGCCGCCAAGCCAGGCCGGAAACAAACCCAAAGATTATTAACTCGTACATTTGAGTGAAAAACACTGAGAAAACTGAACTGCAGAAGTAAAGGGGCGGAAGCCATTCCCTTTACCCCCTCGTAATCCACAGCCTATAAATCTTTTGATTTGGTAACAGCACGACATGAAACCGAGGAGTCATAAAAAATATTTTCGTTTTCTTAAATGTATCAACCTTGAAAGGAGATGTATGTGTGTAAAATCAGTCCCGCGGTAATATAAAACGGCTAGTTCCCACGTCGCATCACAAGCGACCCCGCTGAAGGTGGAGAAATGAGTCTTGGCTATTTTGACATCTTCAAAACCTATAGAGGAACTTTTCAGATCAATATAAAAACCCTCAAAGCAGAATCAGACGGAGAGGGTGCCCAGAGGGCTCACCCTAACCGAGCTGCGTCTGTCTTCTGTTGCTATACAAATTGAATTTACTTTGAGGACGAATTCTTCTCTCCTTAAAAACTGAACGGGCCCTGTTCAAAAGAGCCGTCTTTTTTTATCCTTTTCACTTGTTTTTTTTTTTCCTTCTTTCTCCCAGTCACACCAGGCTTGTAATCAGCAACAAACGTTGACATAAATCAAGGGCGGATTGACAGGGACTGACAAATAACTGATTGATTGCGGTCGAGCCGAATTGACAGTTGACGGAAGGGCGGAGAGGGAAACAGAAAGGAGGAGGATAGTGCACGGGTGGCACGTGACAGCCCCCATCCCGCGGCCTCCTCATTGGTCCGCTCCCGTCCGCCGCCTCCTGATTGGACCGTTTGAACCCCCCGACGCGAAATAAGTTGATCTTGTGTTTGACGTAGCAAAGCAGAAACACAGAACATACGCCGTTTACGCGCGACAGCGACACAAGCCACAGGCATCAAGAAAGATCGATAATTATTTTATTTAAACATGACTACTTAATTAAGTGTGAAGACAACGCTTTTGGAGGAGGGAAAAAAAAAAGAAAACCTATCAGGCTTTTAATGTCGTAGTATCTAGTGGCATAGTTTGTACACATCGACGGTTGGGTGTGGAAATGAAATTGCGAAAATATATTTTAAATAATCACTTTCAGTGCTGTAGTAATGGAATTAATAACAGAGAGGCACACTTCGTTGCATAGGAAGAGTTATAAAGAGTAACTGTAATTCATTTTCAAATGAATCTACATATTACAATCCTATAAATGACCGATAAACCAGTTTTTAAGATGTGGGTCTTTTCCCAACTAGCGCTTGACCTATAGCGCACGTTTACAGGACAATTACAGAGTAACTTAAGCGTCTGTTTTCACAGAAACCAGAACTATCCCTGCGACGTTCACTGCTAGCTGTGTGCGCGCAAGGGGGAAGCAAAATCTCTAGCTGCCGTGAAAAGGGGGCATACGAAACCAAATATTACAACAAAACTCCTCCCCTCCGCAGACAACAAAATAGAAGCGCCTACAAAAAGTGGGACGTCACATCCCCTTGACCCTCCAATCACCTCGGGGTCCCATTTGATTGGAAGGCGGCAAAGGCTTTAATCTCGGACTAATGCAGCTGCTTTTGAAGTGAGTTTCTCTGCCAGATCTCGGGTTGGGAGGACTAGCGGTCGGATCTGTTGGAAGACGCGCTGTGAGCAGAGCCTATGGTACAGAAAGGAGCTTCCGAACTGCGATAGACTCGCATCCCACGCCTGACTGCGGCTTTCTTCATAAGGATTATACATATTTTATTCGCTTTTCGGGGGACAGTCTTCCTATCAATATTATTACTATCGTCGTCGTAATTTCCGAAAGAAGCCATGAACATTTAATTTCTTCCCCCTCCCCGACTTGAATCAGATAAATGCATTCCCAACAATTTCCGTGAGAAGTGGGTCATGATCACATCGCCCTCGATCTCTGCTCTACGAAATAGTAATTACACTAAAGCAGCCTGGGCAAACAGCGGCTCTGGGAATAATAGCAGCGCCGCGGCTCACATCAACAAACCCTTTCTGCACTCCGTTCCTCCTTCGGACCCTCTAAGGCAAGCTAACCGTCTCCCAATCAAGGTCCTGAAAATGCTGACGGCGCGTACGGGACACATTTTGCACCCCGAATACCTTCAGCCCCTGCCGTCCACACCAGTTAGTCCAATTGAGGTAAGGCGTGCAGACCACTATTTCTGCAAATAAAAAAAGCTGATTTAAACACCAACGTTTCTTTATACCTGTTAGTAGAAGATATGTTACCATAACTGTTTTGCAGTTACTGTAAGTCTTTTAAAAATGTACCGTCGCCGCCCCCCCCTCCCCACATTGGGGACATTAAAGGTGGTTATTTGGTTAAACAGTTTATGCGTGATTAGACGACTTGGAGCTGAAACAGTGCAGCAAACTTGGCGTTCTGCGCCGCTGTGTGTTTTTTTTTATGTTCTTGTCGAGGAATCGCAACGAATTGTACGTCTATGGCAAATGCATAAACGAAAGAACACGCAGTGTGATCTAACACCTTAACTGGCGCACAGCTCCAGATATACGCATTGCGTTATAGCTTGGCAGCTCGGCCTCGATAGGAGCTTGCCGGGACTTCAGAATGAGATCGCTACGAAGTTTATTTTCGTATGTGCACAATTGTTGTTTTATTTCGTAATGTGTTGTCTGATTTTTTTTGTTTTACGCAGCTAGATGCCAAGAAAAGTCCACTGGCCCTCCTGGCACAGACCTGCTCGCAAATCGGTAAGCCGGACCCGCCTCCTTCCTCCAAGCTCTCCTCCGTAACCTCGAATGGATCTAGCGACAAAGAGTCCAAATCGGGCCCTTTGAAACTGAGCGATATTGGAGTGGAAGACAAATCGAGTTTCAAACCCTACTCCAAACCGTCAGAGAAGAAGGATCCAGGCTCCGGGACTTCCAGTGGAGAGAAGTCTGGTTTCCGTGTGCCTAGCGCCACCTGCCAGCCGTTCACTCCAAGGACAGGCAGCCCGAACTCCAGCACCTCGGCGTCTCCGCTGCCGTCGGAGGGCAAGTCTGGAGAGAGCCAGGACAAGAAAGAGTCTGACACGAGTAAAAACGGCACGACCGAGGGCTCTGGCACCACCAGCATCAGCCATAGCAGGATAAGCGTGAGCTGTGCGGGAATTAACGTGGAGGTCAACCAGCACCAGGAGACGACGTCGGGCTCGAAACCCATCACTTCCGACTCCTCGTCAGTTTCCACGGCTTCGTCGGCGTCCGTTCTCGGGTCTGGACTTGTGGCTCCCGTTTCGCCCTACAAGCCCGGCCAGACTGTTTTCCCCCTGCCACCTGCTGGCATGACCTACCCTGGGACCTTAGCCGGGGCCTATGCTGGCTATCCGCCCCAGTTCCTGCCCCACGGAGTGACTTTAGACCCGACGAAGTCCAGCAGCCTGGTCAATGCACAGCTCGCCGCCGCGAGCTCGCTGGGCTGCAGCAAGGCCGGCTCGAGCCCTTTAGCGGGAGCCTCGCCGCCGTCCATAATGTCCGCTAGCCTTTGCAGAGACCCTTACTGCTTAAGCTACCACTGCGCAAGCCACTTGGCTGGGGCGGCCAGTGCCTCGTGTACGCACGACTCGGCGGCGGCGGCGGCTCTCAAATCCGGATACCCACTCGTGTACCCCACGCACCCGTTGCACAGCGTCCACTCCTCGCCACCCTCTTTTGCGGGACACCCTTTGTACCCTTATGGTTTCATGCTGCCGAACGACCCCCTGCCGCATGTCTGTAACTGGGTGTCGGCCAACGGACCTTGTGACAAGCGCTTTTCCTCCTCGGAAGAGCTTCTCAACCACTTGCGGACCCACACAGCTTTCACGGGAACTGACAAATTAATCTCCGGTTACCCCAGCTCGTCGTCGCTGGTTGGCGCCGCGGCCGCGGCCATGGCGTGCCACATGCACATGCCCCCCGCGGGAGCCCCCGGGAGCCCAGGCACGCTGGCACTCAGGAGCCCGCACCATGCTTTAGGACTCAGCAGTCGGTACCACCCTTATTCAAAGAGCCCCTTGCCAACTCCAGGCGCCCCGGTTCCGGTTCCTGCAGCTACTGGACCCTACTACTCGCCTTATGCACTGTATGGACAGAGACTGACCACAGCGTCAGCGTTGGGATACCAGTAAAACGGACTAACGTTAATCAATTTCTAGAACACAACGCAAATAGAATGACTTTTATATTAACAGTCCACTTAAGGACCGGATCCGTGGACTCACTGTATTTATTTGTTAGCTTCAAGCGGGACAGTAATAAAATATATGAATTAAAAAAAAAACCCAACAAATTCAGAAGTGCATTACTTTCAAACTGAGCTCTATAAATACCCACGGTAGAATACTAATGAAAATAGGGGGTTTTCTTTTCGATGTTTATTTGAAATTGCTATGATTGTATTGTACGTTCTTATTTAATGTCTCCTTGAAAGAAAAGAATTTACATGCATGTTTGTTACTAAAATCCCAACTTGTCCTTATAATTTTAAATTGCAATTATTTTTAAGGTGTATACCATGGAAAGAGAATTGGTATTTTTTGTATGTATTCTGGAAAAAATAAGAAACAATTCTATTCCAAAAATCCGTCGTCTTTTTTTAAGTGTGAGTTTACAGGGCTGAAAGAAATGTGTAGCGACATTTCTGATCTGTGTACTTTTACAGTATAAATATTCTGGTGCAAAAAAAAACGTTTTTAACAAAAGTTGGTTACTGATTTTTAGTTGCATTTGTTTTTCAGGATTCTCAGGTAGCGAAGGTAGTTCATTTAAATGAGGAGGAATCTGTGGTGAAGTCTAGGCTACGACTGTTCTCAGGGGATAAAACGTCATAATCGCTTTGTAAAGGTTTTCCGCATATTTCCCCAACAAGATTATCAGAATCGAAAATAACCAAAGCTACAAGTCAGACCAACGCTTTAGAAAGGGGGGAACGCTCTCCGGAAAATCGTATCGTCATTTTTACTCCTGTTCTTTAAACTATTGTAGAACGAAAAGCCGAACAGCTGTCCTATGTGCGTCCGTGTTATTAATTACACGACTTTACAGTGAAAAATGTTTCAAAAAGTGAATTCAAAATAACCACAATGTTAAGCGTTTTTTTCTAAAATGCGTCTACATCCCACCGCGCTTTAGTTCATCCATGTTTTGATTTTTATTTTAAAATGAAGTGGCAAGTCTTTGAAGGCCCTTCGTAAAACGGAATTTCAGCCCTACCTTAAAGAAATAACTTGGGTAATCACTTTGTATGTAAATTAAAATATATCTCTAGTGCCCAGACCTTCCCTTTCTCGTTAATGTTTCTCACCGAAACATTTGAAGACTTCAAAGAAGAATATCCAATGTTCAAAACGAGCTTCGGAAGCGCGTAATTTGATTAGTTGAATATAAACTCGGGATTTTAAGCTATATTGATGGCGCAACTGCAGTTAAACATTTTGTTTATGCCCACTACACGTAAGCATTTCAAAGAGATTTTTTTATCGCGGTTTTAAAAATGCCCTTAAACCTCCACAAAGATTCTACTTCAATAAAGAGAAGGGGAAATGACTGCCGGAAGAGAAACCTGTACAGTCAGGCATCTGTCAAATGTCTAAATTTAGGATATTAACAGTAAAAAAATAAATAGTTTTTTTCCATTATGTGATGAAGTGACGTGTCTACGTCTAAAATAATGTGAGTTTGACTTTGGGAGTGCATTTATTATGTGGTATGCTTTTTGTGGTGTTTTTATCAATGTTTTAGTCATCAGTTCAGAAGTTTTTTTTAGTCTGGCGAATTACCGAACAAGAATGTGTAGCATTTTTCCGATTCAGGAGTCGTTTCTGGAATTATTAGCTTAACCAAATAACGCCTTAAACCATTTTATATACGGGAAGTGATACTTTTTAAAATTTAATTTTACGCTCAAGTCATTTTAACACTGTAGACCTTTCCCCTTGCAGAGAACGACTCTGTTAGAAATCGGGGGAAAAAATGCTTTCGAAGAGGGGAGGTGACCAGGAGTGGTGTCCAGGATTTAACAGCGCTACTGTCAGGAGAAGTGTGCTGGAGCCAAAGAAAAAAAAAAGTCAATTTCACGTTTGCACATCGCAAACAAAGTAATAAACGATGTCTGTTTAATTTGTGCGTTCACCTAAAAAGATACCGCCAGTTACCAAACCCAGATGAACAAGTTATGTTAAGATATTTGGTAGAAACACAATAGCCCACTGTATGTGAATCGGTTTAGAGTCCGGCGCTTAGTGTAAGAAGTCTAATGCGTAAATTGGTTTGGAATCGGTTGCAACTAAAGGATTGTACGCAGAAATACAGGCCAATATTATATATATAATTATTTATACAGACTTCCCACGCTGTGAACTAAAAATCTCGAACAAACGTATTAGAGACATTAAAAAAATGTACACGTTGTCGTCAGCCATTATTCGTCTGCGTATGTGCGCTTTATAATGGAAAAGGGAATCCTGCAAAACTATTTCCACGCCAGTGTATGATCAAATAATGTATTACAAAACTGTGTTAGCTAATTATTACAAAACGAAATGGCATCATCTTACTTTTATGCACAGCGAAGTATATTACCGTTTCCTATAACGACAACAAATTTTAAACGTATTATGCGTCCTTTTAGAAGGTTAAATGTTATTTTTCTTTATAACAGGTGTCCAGTTGAAATCACGTTGAAAATCTTTGCAAGGTCGTTGTGGTAGGGCTGATTAAAATGACAACATTTTTTAGTTACAAAAAGAAACCTACGTTCGACCATTTAAGATGTCATGATAGCATTTCCCCTTATTTATCACTCCTGTTTAAATCCCGATTAATACTCTTTCTATTACAAGGCAGAAGAAAAGTTTTAATTAGTGAGCAGTTTAACAGCACTCAGAATTACCTTGAGGTCTTCAATATTTTTTTTTAGACAGATTATCAGGCTACAAGAAAGATGAGTAATTGTAATAAAATTATGCAAGGCAAGTTTAAATTGCAATTGCCTGTATCTTTGTACAAAGTCAATAGTGAAATATGGATTGATCGTCTATGTTATTTTGGAGGAAAAAAAAACTACGACTGACAGAAAATATGATTCGAAGCGACACTTTCTCAGAAATGCAAAAATCCATCATCTTTTCGTGCCATCTTGAAAAGCGAATTCTTTCCACTTTGAATGCTGTTTTTTCAGAAAAAAAAACTGTGGTGTATTTTCTCATCTTCTGATGAACTAAAGACAACCTGACAGTGCTGTCATCTGTCTTCAACGTCACTTCAAGAAAAGGAATAATGATAACTATCTGCATTGGGCGCCAACAGAATACTAGAGATGTCAAGAAAGGATTGCGGCATGAAGGAGAGGAAAAATTAATAGAGCTGCTTCTCGCATAAAACGTATCCTTTTAAATTCACTTTAGAAATATTATCCCGATTTTTTTCCCGGGCACTAAGGTCTTTCCCCCATATCGAGGTATTGAAAGTCTTGTAACTGTGGTCTTGCTCTCCTCAAATTAAGCAGGATACCCCCGAAATTAAGATAAGCATGGAAAAAGCAATGCCGTGTAATGTGGTACTGTATGTGCCCTATACATATTAGCTGGTAATAGTATCATACAGTAATCTTTAAATACAGACTACTTGAGTGAAATTTCGCGAGCGAGAATGGGTAAGAGCAATAAACATATCCTTCGTTTTATCTATTAAAACGTTTTCAGGCGAGCGTCAAACATTAACCTTAAACGTGTAAATGAGTTGATAACTAATAAAACTGCTTCGCTTTGTCATCTGTATTTTGCAAACTGATTCGACACAAGTAGATACATTGTTCATTAGCTTTGTAAAGCGTCGAGCGAGAAATTCAATTCTGGTGTAGGTCATACACATATTCAGTAAGCTTTCCCGTGATACTGTCTTTTCCAGAAAGTCTTTTTATTTATGAAACCCAAGTAGAAAGTGTAGCAGTATTCATGTTTCCAAATATCTAAAAACGTGTGTAATATTTGAAAGCCAACAGCCGTAGCTAGGAAGTGTTAAAATCCTGGGTCAGGATTATTTTATATACAGGTAAAGTGTGTACAAACCATGGATTGATATACCGATATGAACGCTTTTAAAGATATATACGTAGAAGTACACAAACATGAAAAGTGAAAAGTAGATCACTGAAACTGTCAACATAGCTGCGGCCGAATACGATTTACGATAAACTACAAAATACGAAGGTATTGTCTTGAAAAATGTAACTCACGTTCGCTGCTAAGTACAACAAACAGACTAAACATTTTTTTCTGTGTTATGATCATTGCTCACCATAATCGTTATTTTTCTGTTTCTTTGACTTTCTTAGGGGAGGGGGGAACCAGTCTCGCTTCCTCTGTGTTTGGGTAACGCGAGGATCGCCCTGCTCAGTAGTGACTATTGGGCTGTCTGAGAAAAAAAAAACCCTCTAAATCCCGGATTCCAATCCAACTAGCAGTGAATAGTAGCTTTGTTATCGTGGTAATGCTCATCTCCATAAACAAAAGAAAACTTTCAGAAAACTCTCATCTGCTGTGATACACATCGGCCTGCCAAGCAACCTTGGTTTGACCCGTGGGCGAGGCATTTGGAAGATTAATGTGACTTCATAACTGGAGAAACTGTAGACACATCTTAAACGCCTCCGTCAAGATTAAACCACATATGTTATTCCTAAATAACGCCAGCAATACGGATGCCTTGTTCCTGGCGATTTTTAATGAGCCTAAGGATGGCATAACGTGTTTTAAAAACATATATCATTTTCCCCTGTTGATTCACAACAAGCAGGATTCCAAAAAACTTCAATTAATATTGTTTCGCGATGTTCTGAAGTTTTAAATGAAAACAAAGAAGACTGCTTAAAACAGGGTTTGTATTTTGAAACTTTGTAACAAAAGTGGAATTGCAAAATAATTAAGATCGAATAAATGTAATCCAAATAATTTACAAATAAGAAACAGAAGGTATCTGTTATAGAAAACGTCTGTAAAATAGTTTTACAGAACATTTTTGTTTTTAGCTTTTATTTCAAAATTTTATTTCGCAATAATATAGCAGCAGATTTTAACCGTGGATTAGTATCAGTCTTGACAGAATTCACCGTTTTGTCACAACATAGTAAGTCATGTAAACCGGTATTTCAAATTCTTGAAAATATATTACTTTAAAAACAAATCACAAGCCAGAATTGTAAAACATTCAGCTGTTTTTCCAGAAATCTTTACTTTATGAAATAGTGCACAATCGTAAAATGTAGGTTGATTTGCTACTAATTGCTAGAAAAGTATGAAGAGGTAGACATGTTTTTTTTTGTTATTACCATCTCAAAACACACAAAAAGACGAAACTTGGAAAAACCCAGAGGAAACCTTCCATGAATTGTCATACTCTGCTAATAATACACTGTTGCCCAAAGTGACAATATTCAGGAGGAATATGTGATACCAGGGATGTTTTTCTTTGTGAATACAGACAAAAACCTATGTAACCGAAACGATTTAACACTGAAGAAGTAGTCATTAATAACGTATAAATGAGAAATGTCTAACGACACTTCAGAGCCATGTAATGATTCATTAGTAAGGTTGCTTGTTACCAGGATAGTGGTGTTATAATGTTCTTGTGATGTCTTACCTGTTATTCATGCATGAACTCTTTGTGTTCTCCTGTATTGAAATTTTACTCAGAATTAGCTCTGAAGCAATGGCAGTTTGAGGTCTTTAGTCTGCAGCCCCTATGTGGAGCTGGTGGTATTAGTTCTTCTAATTAGGTGTCAGGCCCAGCCCACAGGACAGTGAGCCTGCAGGATTCAGAGCAGGCCAGTCACAGGCCTCTGTTTCTCCTGCTCTACGGCACGGACCTTCGGAGAGCAGGTGTCTGAGGAGGCACACTGAGACCAGTCGAGGTGAGGCTCGCCATCCTTCATTCCTCAGCCTCCTAGTGTTAGCTGAATGGATTCACGGATTCTGGAAAAGGAGACTCTGTTTTGAAATCGGGGACATGGAGGATGTTGTCATTCATATAAGCACAAAGCGCCCTATGGTGTCCTAAGTGTCCAAGCACCTGCAGAAAAAAAACACAGCTGTGTCCATTTAACCTATTCCACATTACAAGAAAAAAAAGATGTTTTCGTGTTTTATCCTCTTTGAAGACTAAATTGCGCGACACTAAATTGACTGCAGTGTTAGTTTTGCAAGTATTCCTGTTGTCTTTATTAGAAAGTTTGCTCATGCATCAGACAGTGTTGAATAAGTGTATACAACTCTTATTATGTTGAATGAAAACTGTCCTTTTTTCCCACATAAAGTGGCGAGCTGGACATCAGCAAAATCAAGTGTTTCCTCTTCCTTAGGATTGATTAAAGGGCACACTTCCATTGTTGCAGATTTAAAATAAAAAAAAATGATTGGCCGTAAAATTATAAGATAAATGTTTCCTTATTTGGTTGTAAAAAGATTGGTTGTAAAAACGCTAGGCCCAGAAATAACTGGTCAACGAGACAGCTTGCTCACCTCTATGCTAGAAACTCAGCACAATCAACATGCATCACCCGAAAACATTCTGCTGCAATTGAAATACATTAGAAAATTAATTTTTTGAAATACATTAGAAAATTAATTTTTTAAATGAATGTCATCCATGGATATATAATTCTGAGAGCATATGACGTATGTGACAGTTCGTCTTGATAAAAATTGTAAAGCTACAAAGGTGAATGCCACTTTGTCTGAAAAGAATAACATTATTACATTTTTACAATAAAATTAAAAGAAAAAATATATATTTTCCAAATAGAGTATTTCAAAAGATTTAGAGTATAATGTTCGATCTGTTTCAAATGGAAAATTTTCTCCAAATAAAATTCAGGTGAAATTCAACAGCTACATCAAAATGAAAAAAAAAAAGAATGTTATGTTTTGCTCTCTTGCATTGTCCCTGCCTTGATTTTCCTTTAAGGACAGTTACAGCTACCCTTATGTCAGGAGTGTGTCTGGTCATGGAAGATAAATCTCCAGACATCGTTTTGTTTGTTTTCCGTGCCTGAAGTTGGTTTCCTACAGGAAGACACCATAAGTACAAAGATTTATGCGCTCATGTGACTCTTAATATGAAACATAAATAGTACAAATATCTAAATTACACAAGTATCCTATTATTCATATTATAGCTACATTTAATAGTTATTTTCAGATTAAATAAATTCAGAATGTTTTATATCAATTTTATTAGGCTATCAACTTTTCCTAATTCAAAACTCTCTCTTCCTCCTTAAAGCAATCGTACCTCATATATGCACAGCCACTTTCACATTTCCAGAAAGAAAATAAGATTCAAAATGTAAATGAAGGACGTGCTATATCATATTGACGGTGATGACACAACCAAACTAAGGTCAGTGTGTTAAAAGTCAAGTGAAGGTCAATGTGCTGTGACATTCAAAACTCCCTGTTTCCTGGGAGTGGGCTACTGGAAGGGCCATTTCAGATCTGGCACTGACTCTCTGATTTATAACGCACAAGCTACTGCATATTAAATACCATACATACCTTTGTATATAGATATCTAAACTATGTATACATTGTTTCCCATTAGATTTGTGAATTAAAAATACTCCAATATTTTATCTATTTAATCCTATATTTAGTCTCTAGCCAATTATATATGCTATTCATATTTGTTATTGAGAGTACCATGAATCAAAGACACTCCTATATTTGATTTTGACAAAAATTGGTTTAAATTCTAACCAATTTTATAAGTTTTGTAATTATGCAGTGGTTTTATGGGTTTTAAAAGTGATTCATGTTCACAATATTTTTTTCATGAATAAATAATTAAACATAAGAAGGATAATAAACAAAGCAAGGCCTTTTCGGCCTATCTAGTCTGTGTGGTAGATAGTAGTTTATTGATCCAGGATCTCGTCCAACTGTTTCTTGAGAGAAACCATGGTATTGGATTCAGCAACATGACTGGGTAACTTGTTCCACACTCCTACCACCCTTTGTGTAAAGATGCTACTCTCCTGTTCTTGGTTTTGAATGCAGTTCCATGTAATTTCACTTATGCCTTGTGGTTTGTTTTTCACTTTTGATTTTGGAAGAACTCCTCCTTGTCAGTCATAATCTAATAGTCTTCTACTTACAAAAGTGAAAATGTTCAATTTTCACACATGACTCCTTGAACTTTCTAACAAATAGTGAGTGTTAATGCCTAATGAGCGCTCTTTGTGAAACTTTCCCATGTTTATTATTTAGTTTGTACCTTATTGTCAACATGTATGTAAAAAAATGTAGTGCCTCACCATTGCTAAGGTGTTAATGCTATAAAATATATGCAATTCATACAACCCAGCTGGTAAGTAAATGATGCAATACAAGGGGCTCCATGGGGTTCTGGGTAATCCAAACAAATGTGCCACAGGTTGTCAATTATGTCATGTCAATAATGGTATCATTACCATACATGTTCCTTAATTTAAAAGGTCTCGAAGATTAGCCCTGGAAAAAAGAAAGATTACCTGTGCTTTCTTGTTCATTTCCACAGGCCATGCCTATCATTTCCCCGATCACACTCTTGGGCACATGGTACTGTGCAGATCACATCACAGGAAGTGATATCACACTTTCTCCAGCCAGGCTGCTATAGATGCAGACTTTCGTGCACATTTCTTCATAATTAAAATCTGAGCTCCAACAGATAAAAAAATAAACAACTGGCACAAATTCTGTAAATTTAAATATAAAAATGTAAAAAAGAATCTAAGGAAAAACAAATGTACGCAATGGTATTTTCTGTATTTAATGACTAGGCTCTAGAACTTTAAACACATAGCAAATCCGCTGCATTTGCAACAGCTTTGCCAAGAATCAGACTGGCCAAAACTACTAGGCTCTCAGTGTTGTTAATACTGTTATTACTGCCTCTTAACTTGTCTGAAGTCACTTCAGACTTTAGGTCAAATATGTTAATAGAGTCTTTATGGTTTACGGACTTGGTGAGCTGATATCTGTTATGCTAATTGCAAGACTACAGAAAAACTGACTCAACTGCAACGTGCTTTCCAACTAATGCATATGTTAACAATTGTTAACAATACCTGAAAAAATCAACATCTATTATATATATCACTCAAATATTTTTCGGCCTACTGCAGAATTGCAGAGTTTTTTTGGTTGTTGCAGTGGAAAAAATTATATTGTATAAAATAGAAATTATCCCACACAACATTATATATTATATGCAGTTTTGCCTTTCCATCCATGTAACGTATGTTAACTTTATTTAGAAAGCATTTTCCTGTGTTCCAAATACAGTTCTGTTGAAGGTGGGCTTCAGTAAGATCCATATTTATAAAAATAAAACCTTGAGTGTTATTTTAAATTCCCTCATTGTAAGGACTTCTCCGAATAACATTTTTCCTTTTGCTTTTAAAAGTAGCTGTTAGGAGTATATTTCTGATATAGACTAATATAAGACGAGAGTGTCTCGTCTTGAACAAAAGGTGCACTTTGGACCTGCATCTGCAGCCATTGGAAAAATAAGTAATTGTATAGATGTGTGTGCGTTTCTTTACTGAAATAACTACATAAGTGTTTTGAACAGCTTTTTATATTCATGCCGAACCACTGCTGACAGAAAAACCAAAGGAAAGTCGGTTGCATTGCCTGTTTGTAAAGAGTCAGTGATTTCTGGATTCAAGATGATCCCTTTAACAGAAAAGTCTCTGCACTGCCTAAATTATAAGGCAATTTGTTACACCTAATTACTCAAACGCCTTTTTAATTTCAATTAGAATATGTGGACTGATTCTTTACCGGTTTTGCAGTAGCTCTTCAATGTTCTCTTATTATTTCTCATTGCATGTCTGATAAGTAATGCCAGGCCCCTGCACAAAAAAAGTAAGAAAAAAGTGGCATGCTAAAGTGCATAGCAGCAATCTTAAACAATGATTTATTATGACACAGGATGTGGGACATTTCCACAGCTTTTGTGATTGCAGTAATGAAGCTGTAAACCAAATAGCATGAAATGAAGCAAGGCCTTACAATTTAATCAGCTCGTAAACAGATCTACTGCATCAAGCAAATGACATTATTATCCATCTGAAGTAAATCATGCTAATCTCAGGAGATAAAATCAACATCATTAATGGTCACATGTCATATTCATCAACACTAAACCATCCCTTTTGACAGATTAATCCTAACTGCAGCTCCCACATGTATGGTAATGGAGCTTGTAGCTAACAATTCACTCAGTAACAAGGCAGCCTAGAACCCAGTTCAGCTTTTACATGTAATTTTCCTCATTGATTTACAAATTTTAAGTGCTCATCAAGGTGATATACAAAAAGAAAAATGGCATTTGGAAAGCTGTGTCATTCAAAATTTCTATTCTCCTGGCACTTGCTTGTGCTGTGAAGGCTTAATTGAGGTCATTTAAGGCAGGTTTGGGTAGTTGTGTGTAGTATGATATGTCTACATCTAGTTAATTTACACTTTTGATTTTTGACAAAGAATATATTATGGAAATGCGTACTCCTTGTGCACTGCCTAACAACACCCAGGCATTAAGGAAAATATGCTGAGGTGTATGTTTATATGCCAACGATGAATGTAAATAACCCGCTAGAAGTAAAATGTGCTTCAAAGCACAGACCCCCTTCCAGAATATGGATGTTTTCTCTTTAAATCATCTCTGAGTGTCACTCGGGGCATTCTCTGCAGAATCACATTTTTTTAAGCCAGGAAACATCAACTGCAATCTAATTGGTTTATATTACCGCTATTAATAAGAACATGGAAAGAACATAAGAAAGGTGACAAACCAGGGGAAGCCATTCTGCCCATCTAGCCCTTATTTTAGTTAGTAGAAAATTCAGTTGAGGATCTCAAAATGCTCATCCAGCTGTTTCTTCCAAAGAGGCCAAGGTATCAGCTTAAACAACAAGGCTGGGTAGCTGTTCCAGACTCCCACTACCCTTTGTGTAAAGAAGGAATAATGATATACGATGTCCACATTAGACAGCAATTAATTTCAGTAAAAACAGCTGATACAATGCACAAGAAAACAAGGTGTTTGCAACTTATTAGCTATTACTGTTGGTTAGCATATCTACTTAGATGTGATTAGATTGCACTGAATTAAGCTTCTTCCCTGCACTTAGAGGAAGAAAAATCTGGCTTCACAGTTTTTTTGAAAAAGCAAATCCTTGTAGCCTCAGAACATGACCTTTGGAGCGATTCTACAGAGAGCCCTGATACATTTTGTACTCCATAGGTCAAATCTTTCTGAAAGGAATATACTTTTTATTCATCATTATATTGACCCTTCACGCAGGTTTTTAAAACCACTCACTATTCAAAATGTCAGTTTATTTGAACAGGCACTGAATTATATTGACAGTCACATTATCAAGTGCTACTGACTGACATAATGACTGACTAGCTACATGCCACATTGCCAGTCATTGACTGAGTGGGTGCAAAAATTATCTGCAACCTTTGTAGATCTAAGCAGTATGAGCTAAGCCCAGAAAAGATAATGCATTCAAGTGATTTATGAGAGCTGCATTTATCAAGTTGATACGAACTATTCAGCTATTACAAACAACCGCACTACAGAAGTAATTTATTTACGTCAGCTTTTTCACTCCCCCAAGTTCTCAAATGTTCCTGAAGCCATTTCAATGTAGGATTTACAGAGTAATTCAAATTTTAAGGGAAGCAATGTTCAGAACATTTTTCCCATCAAATATAAATGCAGATATTATTAAAGAACAAATGTTGCTCTGACATAACAAACCTGTAAACATTTTATGAAAGAAGAAGATGTTAAGTACTGCAGGATGAAATAATGGGTATGACCAAGAGATTAATGAGACTGGATACACAGCTGTGGTGCTTCAGGGCATCAGTGGTTTGGAATGACTTTTACTGTTTAATGTATTTCACTGTTAACTGTTTTCAAATTAGCTTCATATTTGCCTTTTGGTTTCTAAGCTCAGCAAACACAAGAGAACAAAAAAACCTAAGAACTAGTAAGTTGAGTGTGTTAAATGAGGTGGTATTTTAAGCATTTCAATAGACAATTTCCATTTTAAAAATCTCAAGTGCTAGCACATATCCAGGTTCTAGATTTGCAGTTTTTGTTCCTCTCTTTGAGATGATGCTGATTGGAGATGTACTTATTGAGCACTTATGGGGAATAAAACAGTGCATTCTTATTACAAGAGCACCTTCCTGAGCCAGTGTCTCTTCCACTGGACAATAGGGGTCAGGCTGTGGTGTGTAGACAGATCTGGCTGCAGCTCTGTTGTGTTTTAGAGAAACTACAGCTGTGGCTGTGCACTTAACAAGATAGTTTTTAAGATAATGATAATAATACTGATCCATTTAAAGGATCGGTTATCTCTTATTGTTGATTTTGACTCATATGCATGGGTTGTGGACTAATACATAATGTGAGGTGTTTGGTGAACACCTTCTTAATAGTTCATTTAATGGGTCTTTGCTTCAGGTGAACTTTAAAGTCCATTGTCTCGTCTGAGGAAAGTCAAAGTCAAAGTTTTTTCTGGTGAAAAGCTGGTTTTGTTATATGGCTTTTTTCCATATTTTGTTAATGGCTTGGTAAATAATGAACTTTTAACTCCACACAAATATTTTCAAATGTTAATGAAAAATGAAATTATTGAGAAAGCCTGCATTTAATAATTAAGAGAACATTTTTTTCTAGGTATAACTGGATGTGACATGGATGTCATATTGTGTTTTTAACCTTACTCTCGATGTGGTATGTAGTCCCTGACAATAAATATTACTCCTGCAAAAGTGGGATTTTTTATACATTACATGATCTACTGGCAATGTAGAGCATAAAAACAGAAAATTCCATATGATAAAATGACAATAACTAACTAAACTCTCATATTAATAGACATTTTACCAAAATATATTTGTGCTTAAATTATATTATATTTTTCCAGGTCAGATTAATAGTATTAGAATTTTATAAAAGTGAAAAGGCAGGTGAATTGTACTGAACAAAATTCAAAAGACACCAATTTACTCAGCCAGCACCTACTCCATGTGGGAGCTGGAAGGAAATCAGACCCCCTGGAGAAAACATATATGTTGCATTTTATCATGCAGTATTATATGCAAACTCAGAATTGAAGCCGGGACCCAAGATAGCTGTAAGGAAACGACTCTAACCTCTTAGATAACAAGCTTACCTCTTGCATCTGACAAAAAGAACCCTTGTAAGTTTTTATTAAATAAAATTATGATTTGGGGATTTGCAGGTAAGGATGTGTTTGTAGCCTAGAAAACCAAAGAATGGAAAATTCAACCTACTGATATGAATGTAGAAGGCATCTATGTGTTTGCATACATGTTCAGTGTCTATTTTGGATATACTGTACATTTATGTAAACTTTCAGAGTTCTTCTCAGCTGAGATGGAGTGTTGTTCCAGTACTTTTCGGATTGTGATATTGACTTCTTAAAATGCTGTGTGGCTTGTTTCTGTTCCTATCAATCTCCTAACAAGGCCAGACAATTGTGCTTCTAAGACCACTAAGACCAGGAAGGGTACAGTTGTGGTACTGTTGTGGCTCAAGCATTGTGTATTGTCAGCATTCACCACCCCACTGTTCAGAATTGCCCAAAAGGGAGGCCACATGTGAAAAGAGTGTCAATTCCTAGATAAGGGCATACTGAGTAACATCACAGGAGCCAGAAACAGGAGGTAAAATGGGATTCCGAATCATCAGTAACTTCTAATGAACAAGCCACTCTTGAGATGCAATCAGACACCCTGAGTTCTGGGATTCTCAATATGAACACTGTTGGCTTTCTGGAAGAACATAAGAAAGGCCTCAACTGATGTGAGGCCATATAGCTCATCTTGCTCATTTGATTCTCTACTAGCATCTGAATGATTCTGAACATGTGTTCTGAAGTTCAAGATGGAGCTCAGATTGTGAGCCTCAACAAACTTGTGTGCTCCCACGATCCTTTGGGAGGAGCAGTATTTCATTTTTTTCTGAACACATTGCTTTTCAGTTTCCAAATGTGACCTCATGTTCCCTGGCAAAATCCCTTAGGATTTCGGACACTTGGATCAAACTTCTTCCCAGTCTCCTTTGTTCTAAACTGATTTAGCCCCTTTATCCCCATTCTCGCTGCCCTTCTTTGACCTCCTTCCACGGTTATAATGTCCTTTTTGTGGATTGAGAAAAAAGTTTTGAAGTGAGGTGTTACTAGTGTTTTCTGTTTGCTTTTTTTTTTGTGGGTTCCCCAAATTATTGTTGGTGACGATGAAGACGAATCTTTCAAAAGACAAATCCCTTTCAGCGTGCCATCACCCATGCGACATGTACAGTGTGTAAATTTGATTTGCCATGTGTCTGCCAAATGCATAATTGAGTTTTTTTCTGTAATTCCCTTACTTTAGTGAATAATCTGTATAACAATGCAACCCAAAAGTAAATGCTCACCACCCTGTACATTATGTCCAAATTACAAGATCCATCCTTTCACTGCTGCAGAGATGCTTTTTATTCCTTTTTATTTCTTAGCATGAGAGTTTGTACCCAATGCTAAATCCTAAAAAGATAAGCCCCTGCCTTAGGTTTAACCTAGTTCTGATATTGCTGATTGGCTAGTAATTTAATAAGTGTCTGGTATTTCATGGAGTTTAACGTTTTCAGGTTGTTGCAGCTCAACTGTGCTTTACTGATTTCTGTATCTCTCCTTCTAGGTTAAAGTATGAGTGAGACCAACACGTTTCCTCTTATCTACTCTACATTTGGTACATAATAAACAATATTGCTACAGTAAAGAGCAGAATATTTGGGCATTTATTTTTAATTACTCCTTAGTGTCCATCAGACAACTAAGAAACCCTCTGAGTACAATAGTTTAGTTAATGATACATCTGGAGAGTGGGCAACAGGAGAGGAATTCAGTTCCATAAAAATGGCAAATGAAGTAAAAAGCACTAAAAAGTCTGAATTTTACCTGTGTGTTCGCCAGGATGTTTTTAGTGGATGATACTGACTGGAGAATATTTTGCAGAATGATGAATCCCAGTTCCACCTCCACATCCAGATGAACAATGACCTTATCCTGAGTGAGACCAGTACACACACATCCACCCAGTAGCCTTTGTGACCTAAAGGAAAAGTGTGTGGGTTGGGTTCATCAACAAGAGTATCGCCGATCCTCATTATTTGAGAAGAGCAGATCGAATGTGAATAAAAATCTCCCGCAGTTGCTGGAGCACATCATCAACACTTCCTAGCTAGCGGTGTTTCATCTGCTTTGGATCAGGGGGAATACGTCAGCAACAAATACCATGTACTACCCACACTGTGTACAAGACACATGTTTTCACTTAATGAATGATCAGCAAGGAATTTCTGCTCATTTGGCCAATGTGACTACCACAGATCTCAGACTTGCATATCCCTGGTATATGACATGTCATCACTATACTTTAAAGACCATCCAGAGATGTTGGTCTGAAGAGCAGCAAGCAGATCATGTTCACAAAGTCTCCAGTAGGCAGACATGGGCTACTGTGTACTCTAGTCTGTGGCAGTCGGTCAAGTACCTGGCATTCAATGCCTTGGACAATTAATGTAATTAAATTAAATTAAATATTTAACCAGTGTTACTTCAATGAACTGGTGTTGGTAACTCTGTTTTCCCCTTTCTTGTGTGTCAGTTTCTGCAGTATATTGGCCTTAATTGTTCCTGCATTTTTCCATAATTTTCCCAGGGATCTTTCATGCTTATAGGTAGTGGTTTTTAGATTACAATTATAGCTTGGAGATAGGAGATAGCTTTTAAGATCACATCGCCTCAGCTATCACTTTTATTCTGATGATACTCAAATTTACATCCATGCCAAACCTGACACTC